GTTTCTCTCTGTTTGTCTTTAACCTTTGCTATTTTTATTGTATTAACCTTGCATTGTTCATTGACTGGGATGCTGCAGTCTGAATCTCCAAGGCTGATGGAATCCCCATTGATTCCCCCTGACAGATGCTACACAGGTTCCCCTTCTTTTCTCTGTTGCTCTGAATTGGGGCTCATACTTGGTGCTGAGACCCCCACACTCCCAGGAGGCAGGGGTTCTGCTGCTGGAATATCCCTCCAGCTTCCCAGCCACACACATACACTAAGAGGATCACATTCTCCATCTCTCCTTATGTCTTTCCTCTGATACCTGCTTTCAGTATTTCAGATCAACCACACATCAACTGTTTTTTCAAGCTGATTGTTCTACAGTTTAGCTGGAGTTGGGAGTGAGTGAACAGAGCTTTCAACTACTCTGCAACCATCTTGGGAACCACCACACCACCACACCTCTCCCCTCCCCCAGCTAAATTTTTAGTTTGATGTAGTACCATTTGTTTATATTTTCTTTTGTTTCCCTTTGCCAGAAGTTATATCAGAAAAAATATTGCTAATAGAAATGTCAGAGAGTTTACTGCCTATGTTTTCCTCTATGAGTTTTATGGTTTTAAGTATGTAATACATTTTAAGTTTACTCTTACATATGGTGTGTAAGAAGGTGGTCTAGTTTCATATTTTTATAATTATCAGTTATATTTTCCAAACACTACTTATTGAAGAGACTATGTTTAACACACTGTAGATTATTGCCATCTTTGTCATAGATTAATTGATCATATCACTGGGGTCTCTATTTTGTTCCATTGATCTCTGTATCTGTTTTTATGCTAGTACCTTGCTATTTTGATTACTATTGCCTTGTAGTATAGTTTATTAGGTAGTGTGATACCTGTAATTTTGTTATTCTTTCTCAAGACTATTTTGACTATATGTGGTCTTTTCTCGTTCCATATAATTTATTTTTGTTTATTTGTCCTAGCTCTGTGAAAAACAGAATTGGTAATTTAACATGGATTGCCTTGAATCTATAGATTGCTTTGGGGAGTATGGGCATTTTTAATTAATTAATTTTATTTAATCCTCACCCGAGGATATGTTTTACTCATTTGAGAGAGAAACATTGATGTATGAGAGAAACATCTATCAGTTGTGACCCACATGTGACCCCATTAGGAATCAAACTCTCAAACTATATATATGCCATACATAATTTGAACAAGCAACCTTTTGGAAAATGGAAACCCACTCTAAAGAACAGTGCCAAACAACCCAGGGTGGGGAGTATGGACATTTTAAGAATGATAATTCTTCATATGCATGAGTACAGTGTATGTTACCATTTATTTATATCTTCTTTAGTTTCTTCCTTCAATATCATAATTTTTTGAGTATAGGTCTGTCACCACCATGTTTATATGCAGAGTGTGTTTTACAAATATATGTAATATTTGATTTCATGCTATTTATCTTTTATAATTTTGGAAGGGTTATTTATTAAATACCGAATGTTATCCTTTAAAAGGAAGTGAATGGTTATCGAGAACAATTATGAGGACATTAGTTACCTCAGGAGGACCAGGGATGGGGACATGCTTGTCCTGGAGCAAAAGGAGGGTCCAGGCCTGCTGGCATGTTCCCCATCTTCATCTGAGTTGTTGTTAGCAGAATGGAAACATTGCGCAAGCACAGGGGCATGCAGCACCCTGCAGTGGTGCTCATAGTGCCCCCTGGGATCAGGCAGGTACAATCAACATGGCCACCCTGGCAGCACAGGTGGGCCGGCCAGACCCAGCAAATGCACAGGGAGAGTCTGGGCCCCTCAGTCGGCTGAGTAGCAGCCTGTAACCTTAACCACCTATAACCTTAACGACCCTTCTACCCCTGTAACCTTAACCATCCCTCCGCATTACAAGGCAAAGTGAAATATCAGCCAATTCTAGGAATTAGGACGTGGACAACTTCTGGCACCACTGCTCTGCCCACCACTCTCAGCTCCCTATCCAGTGCTCACCTCCTACTACATCCCCTGTGTGTGCCAATCCTTGCAGAGTCTGGAAGAGCTGTTGGCTGGTCCTGGTGGTGCTGATGGTAATAGTGATGAGAGATGAAAGTGGGAAAGCTGGGGTCAGCCAGTAGCAGACTAGGCCAGTACCAGAAGGAGGCAGGCTGGGAACTAGGACTCTCCAGGCCAGCCACCACTGCCTCCCAGCCTTGAGAGTAGGTCGGTTTTCCTGGGGCCCCAAAGTGTTTCCATAATCTATGCCTTAGTAACTGCCACTTCTCCCCCACCCTCCCTATCCCGGTCCTGCCTCCCCCCCACCCCCCGCAACCTCCTGCCCACCCTCCTCGCTCTGGAACTGGAAGGCACTGAGCCAGGGCCTGCAGTGTAAAAGTTTACAGCAGCATTTTTGTGCTACATTTGGTCTATAAATGAAAGAGGGAGATTGTGTGGTCAGAGGAGGGAAGGGAGGCTGGCAAAGCTAGCCACCTCGGGTGGTGTTCCTGCCTCCCACAACCCCTTCAATGAACTTGTCCCCTTCCTCTCTCTGGCGACGAGAACCCAAGGGCTCCTGGGGCAGTGCCGGTGCTGGACTAGCCGCCATCACAACCTGCCCCAATGTATGTCTATGTGGGCAGAAAGCCCAGCTAGAAAGTCTCTTCCAAACTCAGACAGCATGTCACCCCACTGAGAAATAACCACTTGGGTCAGGGTCACAGCCATAGCCTAAACAACCAAGACCCCTTCTCAAGCAAGGGGTTTGAAGTGGAAGGATGACGTCCCACGAACGTTCTTTTCTGGCTCTGAGGGCTGTGCTTGTCCCATCCCATGTGTGATGGTCTGTCCACCTGAGCTCATGCCACAGGGCCCGGAATGGAGGCAGGGTGAGAATATGGAGGAAGAATGGTAGAACCGAGTCTGCCCGATTTCCCAGGCGCCATCATCACTCTTTTACTTCCCATCTTCACTGCGCCCATCCTGCCCATGCCCCGGTGAGCTCCCTGCCCCTAGGACGAGACCTGTCTGGGCCTGTCCTCTGCATTCTCACTCCATCCATGCACCTTTGTCAGACACCATAGGATCCAGAGTAGGATCCAGAGCCACCTCCAGCAACTCCCACATTTCGGGTGTCTGGACGCCCTGCCTTGGAGTTGGTGACTTCCTCCTCATCATCCCCAGCCCCACAATCCTCCTCCTCCCCCACCCAACGTGTCAGGAATTTAACAATGTCCCTTGGAAAAAGTAGATCCCACCCTTGCTTTGGCTCACTCAATCCCACGGTCTCTACTATTGTACTACCTTTACTGCCTGAACCACATCAAGAGACATTATCCTCGATTAATTTTATTCCAAACCAGATCCCCTTCCCCAACCTCAAGTGTTCTATCGACCATTGCCCCTGCCATGTGGGTATTAACACCGGTCTCTGAGGGAATGGAGACTGGCAGAACTAATCCTCAACTCACTCAAACACAAGGCTGTGTCCCTCTTGAGTCCCAGGCCCGCACAGCCCTGGCAGGCCCTGGCTAAGGGAAGGAACCAGTTCCCAGCAGTCAGTGAAGGGGGAAGGGAACACAGAGCTTGAGACTCAACCTTGTGTGACCTGCCAAAACAGTAGGGGAGACTGCGCGGGGCAGAGAGGGACGGGGCGGGGAGGGGGGGGCCTGCAGAACTGCCACTTTCAGGAGAACATGTGTGTTGGGCTGGTCTAATATAGTATTTGAAGGGGACCACGTAACACACTGAGACTAATCAACCGTCCTCGCCATAGAAACCGGACGGAGGAGGGCCATTAGAGGGCTAGGGCAGGCAGGCAGCGAACCCTCTGCTAGGCAGTTTCCCCAGGTTGGCCCGTAGCCACCACAACACTCATTCCCTGTCTTTTCCCCTGTATTCCCGCACCTTCCCCTGTGATCCACAATTCCCTGGGCTGTGGCTTCTGCCTCCACCGCTCTACTGAAACAAAGGAGGGAGAACTGAGTGGAGCGTCAAAGGTGAGAGCTAAAGAGGGGTTGCTGGGTGAGTTTTCCATGTGCGCGAGGTGGCACCAGCAGGAGGGAAGGACTCCACAGAGAGGTCTGGGCCTGGGAAGGGGGAAGATGAGCTCAAGTGTGCTCTTTAACACCTGCTGGAGTAGAGGTGCAGGGAAGGCCACCTACGGAAAGCCATGAGGAGACCAAGGGTGTTCAGACAGCAAAGCAGGGTAGTTGGGAGGGGACCCAATGACTGTGGGAAAGAGGGACTAAGCTCTGGAAGGGGGTCCTGTGTTCCTGCTGAAGGGGAGGGGAAATGGGCAATGAATGGCATGAGACCCCAAACGTGGAGGAGATTAGAACACACCAAGAGGGCCTGCAGGGCAAAGGGGAGAGAAGCTAGTTTGGTCAGGTAGTTCCAGGCAGAGCCCAGACCCGGGGCAGTCTGGTGGTCTGACTGCAAGGATCCTATCAGAGGCTGGCGTAGACTGCCCACAGGCAGAAGGCCCACCACAGAATGCCAGAGGTATTGTTCTGGAAAAAGCTCTGAGATGGAGCAGCTCCAAGACCTCCCCCCGTTCCTTCCCTCTTCCACCTGTCTCCCCCACCCCAAGAGAGACCACAGAGGTTTGTGGGTTTTTTTTGTTTTTTTTTAACAAACAGGCTTTTATTGATGAGAGAGAGAGAGATAGGAAGATGGATGTGAGAGAGAAACATCAATTGGCTGCAAGCCCACAACCTGGGCACGTGCCCTGACCTGGAATCAAACCTGTGACCTTTTGGTGCACGGGACAATGCTCAACCAACCAAGTGAGCCAGACCGGCCAGGGTGAGACCACAGAATTTGAGAGGGACTTTAATTTGAAGCTGCTGAGAAATGGGGTGCGGAGGAGGCAAAGGGAGGGGGAGAGGATGCCTTGGCTGATGTGGAACAGGAGGGAACCAGCTGGGCCACAGCTCCGGGGCTGCTCTCCTCTTGCACCGAGATGCTGGGTTCCACCTGTCCAACAGAGCAGAGTCGGGGAGGAGCTCCAAGCCAGGGCCAGCCCACAGCCCTCCTCAACAGCCACGGCTGTGGGCAGGGGTATGGTGTGTGCAACACTCACATCACAGGTTCTGGAACTTGTCAGCCAGGGACTGCATGGCCGCTGAAAAAGAGAGGGGCATAAGCAGGCACTCCAGAGGGAGGGATAGAGAAGCCCGACCCCCTGTCCCTGTGGGGAAGCGCCTAGCCCTGCAACCTGAAACCCCCTCTAGTTCCTACCCAAGGAACCCTGGGCCTGACTCACTCACTCACTCACTCACCACTTGAATTAAGTGTGGAAATGTTTTCCAAACAGGACAAAGTGTGCCAGCACGAAAGCTTTGGGGCATTTCAGAACCACTCAGAATTTGTCAAACAAACAAGGCCCACAGAAGCCATAGCAAGCAGTAGTTGAAGGGAGAATCAATGAGGCATCTCTAGACATCCATCCTAAGAGAAGATCTCTAGGACTGGTTCTCCTTGGCAAAGAGTGCTTGTAGTTCCCACCACACTGTCTTTCCTCTTTGTCCACACACCTAGCTGTCCATGCACAGTAGGCTCCAGGACCAGGCCTGCTGGGTTCTCTTCCCCACAGGAATGTTGGGCCCTGTGAGGCAGCCTGTACCTGCAGCCTGCCCCTGCCCCAGCCCCAGCCCCAGCCCCAGCCCCAGCCCCAGCCCCAGCCCCAGCCCCATGCTAAGGCGCCAAACTCTGGCCCTGCCCCTGCCCCTGCCCCTACCAGAGTTTCCGCTTACCTAGTTGCTGTCTAAGGTCATATATTTGTCTCTGCAGCTCCGGGCACTAGGCCAGCAGACACCAGAGAAAGAGAAATGATTAGTATATTCAGGCCTCCTCTCCCCTCCTCAACGACACCCCTGCCCCACCACCTGGGCTAGCCCGGCATGGGCTCCTCAGTGGGAAAAGGTGCATGCCCTCCCTGAGGTGTGGGGGTGGCGGCAGAGGCGGTGGTAGTGCTGGTGGTGTGGGGAGAGGGGGCGGACACAGGTCGGTTTGATCTGGACACAGATCCCACAGCCCAGCTCGGGACTGCATTTCTAGGAGCCAGAGGAAGCATTACCCGAGGACAACCCTCTGCTCCAGGCGGTTGCTGCTGCCTTTCCCGCGCTGGGGGGCGTCCAAGTGGCTCCTGGTTACCTGAGAGGGAAAGGACACACAATCCAGCTTCCAAAGCACCCAGGGAGGTGGGAAGGGCTTAGCTGGGTCTAATGTGAGGCAGCACCCCCCTCTGCTGGCAGCAAGTTGCCCCTGCTCTGCCCAGCAGCTCCACCCTTCTCTGTGGGCCTGCCTCCCTGTTCCCCATGGGCAGCCCACCCAGGGCTGTGGTCTCCAACACTGTGTGTGGCTCTTGGTTGGATGCTCGCAGAGCTGCAGGCAAAACCAGCCCCTGTGGCCCAACAAGACCTATCGGAAGAGGCCCTGTTCCGCTGAAAGTGCGTGTCTGGTGTGGCAGTTTGGGTCAGGGCCACGAACCACCCCTGCGCACAAAGCCCATGCAGAGGATGAAGTGCCTTGAGCCCTGCCCTGCCCAGACACCCTATTTCCTGTGGGAGAAGCTGTCTGGGCAGGCAGGGAGGCAGGGAGCAGGGCTGAGCCCCTGGTGGAGCCAGAGCAGGAGGGTTCCGTCCTTGGTCTCTCCCCGCTCCACTCCCAGCAGACCCAGGGGACTCACTGCAGGGTGTGGGTCCTCTGGGCAGGGCTTCTCCCTGGCTCAGGGCCCAGGGCCATGCTTGTCCTGGAACCCCGGCGGCTCTGCTGTTGCTGTTGCCGTCGCCACTGCTGCATTCTGGACTGTGTGTCAGAGGCTAAAATAAAAAGTTCTCACTTATTCGGAATTGGGATGTGTGCGCGTGCTTGTGTGTGGGCACAGCGTGTGTGTGTGTGTGTGTGTGTGTGTGTGTGTGTGTAAGGGTTGGGGTGAGGCAAGGAATAGGGAAGGCAGTTCCCAGGCGGACCACATGAGCACTTTTGCCCTCAATCAGCCCTGGTCAGGAGGCAGAGAGAATAGGGGGGTGCTGAGAAAGCACCCCCCCAACCTCCCCCTCCCGCGCCGCGCGCACGCGCGCGCGCACACACACACACACACACACACACACACACCCCTCTGCAAGGACAGCTCAGAGAGCTGCTAGCAAGTAGGAGTCAGGGAGTCAATGGTTCTAAACATTGAAGCTTTGGGGCCCAAAGTCTTAAGGGGTCCCCGGGTCCAAACCAGATGCCCCTGCCCGCCCTCCCTCCCACCCCAGCGGGGAAACTTGCCAGTTGCAGAGAATGGTCCCAGTACTCATGGAGGGCTAGCTCAGGGTGCTCCCTAGCTGAAACCGCCCAGACCTGTTCTGGCATCCTAAGGACCCAGGGCGCCTGATGACAAGCCCCGAGGAGGGACAGAGGGAGCACGCCCAGAGAAGTGCAGGGCTGGGTGGGGAGTGGGGAGGCCCAGGGCCTCATACTCACTTGGACTTCTAGGCTTGGGTCTCTCTCCGGTTCCTTTTCTTCTACCAACACCGGCAGGGACCCCTTCTTCCTCCTGGCCCCAGACTTCTGCCCGGCGCTGGAGTGCTTGGGCTGTTTGGTTCCCACGGGACCCAAGGAATACCCCTTTCCCCTCCCGAGCAGCGGCACCCCAGAGACTGGGGGGAAGGTGGTTGGCTCCAAGACAGGGGCTGAGACTCTCTGCCCCCAGGGAGGGAAGATACCCTGGGGGGCAACTCTGCAGGCCCCCCCTGGGAATTTCTTCTCCTGGGCCACTTTCCTTGCAGGAGTGACCTGGGGCAGGCCACCTGCAGCAGCAGCAGCGCCTGGCAGGTAGCTGGGCCTGCTCCCCTCCTTCCCCCAGACCACACTTTGGGGTTTCCTGCAGGACACATCCAGCTCTCCAACAGCCTGCCTCACCCCAGCGGAAGCCAGGTGTTGGGGAGCGGAGGGCAGGAAGGAGCCTGGCACACGAAGGAATGTCTCCCTGACGTGGGCACTCGAGTGTCTGGGTGTGCCCTGCAGGCCCCTGGGTTTGGCCTGGCCCACCCCCTTGCCACGGAGGCTGAAACTCAGCAGGTGCAGCTCGCTGAAGTCATCTGATGATTCGGAGTCGGAAGGCGAGCCCACCAGGCCTTCTGCGAAGGACAGCTGGCGACCCACGGTGATCTCTGACCTATTCTGAGCTCCTCTTTTGCGGCTTCCCCAGGCCCGGCCTCCCCCAGGCTCTCGGAAGGGCAGTCGGGCTGTGGAAGGCAGCCGAGATCCCACCCAACCATAGGCCCCCGCGCTTCCACCCCCGGGACCTGCCTGCGACTCCGCCCAAAGGGTGGACACCTCAGAGTCGCAGCTCTCTGGGGAGGGGTTTCTGCGGACACACAGGTCATCCCGGTCGGTCAGCTGCTGCAGGATGGCCATCGCGGCCTCGTCGGCCAGATAGTCCAGAGTGTCCCCGTCGAGGTCGGCCGGGGAGCCGGGTCGGCCTTCGCAACCCCAAAGCACCCCTTCCATCACTTCCCGCTCTTCCTCGAAGCCTTCGAGGTCTGGGGACGTGCCCTCGCGCTGGCTGCTCGGCAGGGCCGTCCCCAAAGTCTGGCCTGGTCCACAGGCCTGCCCCCCGCCCTCCGGGGGGGCCCCATTCCCCAAACAGACCCCTCGTCCTTGCTGGGGGAGCTCATGCCACCAAGTCCCAACAGCCCAGGTTCAGGGAAAACGGTTGCCCTGAGCACAGGCAGCGGCAGGATCGCGAGGCCTTGATCTTCTGAGAGCGTCCACCACCGCAGGCAGCTCAGGAGGCGGCCTCCGAGACTGCGCCACTTCCAGGCGCCATCAAGGCCCAGGCCTTCCCATTGGCTCGTTTCCCCCCCGCCAATCAGCGCGTCCCTTCTAGACTCGCCCCGCCCCCGCTTCCGCCCCCGCCAATAGGGTGGAGGGCCTCTGGCGGTTGCAAGCCAATCAGGTGGGGGCTGGTGGAGGAGTGTGGTCATGGCCTAGGGTCGCTCCTCCCGTCACTTCCTGTCCCGCCTGCCCTGGCCACGTGCCTACTGTCCCACTGGGGTCAAAGCACCTACCTCCGTGTTCCATGTATGAAGCGGGGAGGTGGTGCGCCTGGCTGGGGTGGGCCGAGGGGTGGTGGGGATGGAAGTTCAGGATGGAGGTGAAGCACCAGCCATTCTTCTGCAACAAGACTTAGGACCCTACAGGGAAATGGATGCCCGAGCACGTGGTCAGCAGTGGATGTCGCTTTTTCCATAAAGGCCCAGAGAGCAAAAGTCGTGGCATTTCCGGGCGGTGTGTCTCTGTGGCAACTCCCTTTCCGTTATGACGGGTGGTCAAGTCGGCCTGTGGCTGGGTGCTTCAGGGAGCTTTATTGCTGGGCCGCTTTGGTGGAAAGGGCTGGGGTTTGCCCCCCTCCCTCAGCCCCGCCCCCACTCTGACTCAGTTCAAAGAAGAGGGCATCCCCGTGGCCAGTGCACGCCCCAGAAGATGCTCACCGTCACTGATGCTACTGATCCTGGGGATGCGGACGCAAACCATAAATCCATTTTTACACAGCAGGCCTGCGGCAATCAACGAGCTTAACTGTCCCAAGGGTGGGAGAGGTTATGAGCAAGCCCGTGCTTGGCCCACTGTGAAGTACTGGAGGTGGGGGGCGGGCATGGGGGAGGGAAGCGGCGGCCTGTGCGGAAACACACAAGAACCCTTTGGAATCCAGGAAAAACAACTTACACCGCACTTGCTATGTGCCTAGCACTCTCCTGAGCGCTGTAGAGAAAGAGTAACACATCCTCTGACCATGTTAGGAGGGAACTACTCGCTGTCATCGCCCTCTTACAGGTGAGGAAGCAGGCTCTGAGAGGTTCAGCCACTGGCTCAAGGTCACTCGGCTTGTAGCGATCAGCAGCAGGATCGAAACCAAGACAGTCCCGCTTCAGAGCCCTTGCTTTGGAGCAGAAAATCTTAAAAATGAAAAAGCGCCCATTCCCTCCATGACAAGGCATGGACCTCTGCCGGGTACATCTTCTGGAGACACACTGGTACATGGAGTGTATTAGGACACATGCTCAGCGGTGGTGGGAAACACTGGGAACACTCTAAATTCCCACCAGGAAGGAGATGGATGAATTCAATGTAGTGTATGCACCCGGTAGATGAAAACGCCCCAGTCAAAAGAATGCACAGATTTCAAAGGAACACAGCAAGCTGCAGAGCAATGGCGTTGGATACACATTTGTAACTTCTTTTCAAACTAGTCAATCGGATAGAAAGTCTGAGAATACATGTATGTGTACCTACAGACATGTTATGAAGGTCTGGAAGGACGCACAGCCAACGCTTACCAGTGAGCAGCCAGGCCAGGGAGCCAGTTGTCTCTCAAATTTTCCTCAGCCGCCTGCTTCTCAGCTTCCCAGCTTTTCTGAGCTGAGCAATGATGATTATTTGATTAATAGTATGTGACTAATACTTATCTTAACTGGGGGAAAGCCAGTAGGTCCTATTAAAGAATCAATGTCCTCATCATAATAAATGTTTAGAACATCATTTCCTAACAATAAATGGGAATGATTAGTGAGCTTCCAAATTAACCTTTCTATGTTTAGTAAAGGAGAGTGTCTAAGAGGGCATATGCAGTTTCTATTAGGTATAGTAGGGAGAAAGGTAAAAGAAAAGAATATATATAATCCAACAGTGTTACAACGACTTCTACAGTCATGACTATCAAAATAGAATAATAAAGAAGAAATATAACATTAGCTCTTCATACAGAGTCTTAAAGCCAAAATTTTTAGCAAGTCAGGTTGGAATCTCAGAATAGATGATTACCCAAATGTTATCTCTTTTTAATTCTTGGAAGCTTCCTTGGTTCTTTTTAATTGGAAACATGTTTTAGAAATGGGAACTGTTGACCATTCAGGTGTGGTGCCTTTTTAAAATGAGAAACATGAATCCATAAGTTTATACCTTTTAATGTAATTGCACATGGATTGTTTAGTAATACCTGATATGGTCCCTTCCAAGGAGGTTGTAGAGAATTTTTATTTGATATCTCTTCCAATATACAAAATCTCCAGGTTGCAGACCACAGTCTTTAAAGTCGTCATCTCCTGGGAGCTCCCTGTAAAAGGAAGCAGGTACCCATCTGGCATTTTCTTGAAGTGACTTTATCAAACCTTGACAATAGGGTAGAATGTCTCCTTTCAATGATATCAGCTCATAATTTCCTTCATCTATTCTCATAGGTCCATACATTATTGTCTCAAAATGTAATAATTAGTGTTTCAAAAAAGGGAGGGCATTTGGCAATGGGAGATTAAAAGCATCAGTTAATTTTGCCAGTTGAGTCTTTATTGTTTTGTTGGTTCAATCCACCTGTCCTAGAGACTGGGAATGATAAATGCAATGGAAATGTTGCAGTAGGTGACAAATTTCACAAATAGATTTAATTACTTGTCTGATAAAAGGAATCCCTCTGTCATTGTGTAAACTCTCATGTGGGAGTTATTTTTTTCCAATAAAATTTGTCCTATAGTTTGTGCTATTGCTCTCCTGCGAGGAAAAGCCTCAACTCAGTGAAGGACTTATGAATTAATATGTATACATATTCATAATCTTGAAATGGTGACATTGGGATAAAATCCAGAATTGTATTTAGAGCAAACAAAATGATGGCTATAAACTTTGAGTGACTGTGGGAAGTCTCTAAGAATAGTGTTTTGCCAATGTTATAATTTTTTTTCAAGTCCCAGTGGATCAATTTAGGTATATATTTGAGTTTTTGTAGTTGTGCTCCAATAGGTAGAATAGGTCTTTTATTAGGTCTAATCCACAAGATCAGATGGACCCAATTGACATCTTCAGAGCATTTCACCCAAAGCCATGGAATATACATTCTTCTCAAGTGCACAGGGGACATTTTCAAAAATAGACTACATATTGGGCCATAAGCAAAGTCTCCCCAAATCAAAAAGATTGAAATCCTATCAAGCATTTTCTCAGACCACAATGGCATAATATTAGAAATAAAATACAATAAAAACATTCCAAAAAAACAAAACACTTGGAAGCTGAATAGCATGCTACTAAACAATGATTGGGTTATCAATGAGATCAAAGAAGAAATTAAAGATATCTTGGAGACTAATGACAATCATAACACAACATTGCAAATCCTATGGGACACAATGAAAGCAATCCTGAGAGGGAAGTTTATAGCTCTACAGGCCTACCTCAAAAAACAAGAAAAATGGTAATAAATCATCTAACTTAACAACTCAAAGAATTAGAAAAATAGCAATAAGAAAAGCCCACAGTGAGCAGAAGAAAGGAAATAATAAAGATCAGAGCAGAAATAAATGACATAGAAACCAAAAAATAATAAAATACAAAAATACAAAAGATCAACAAAATCAAGAGCTAGTTGGTTGAAAGGATAAACAAGATTGATGAATCTCTAGTGAGGATCACCAAGAAGCAAAGAAAGATGACCCAAATAAACAAAATCAGAAATGAAAGAGGTGAAATAACAATGGATCCCACCAAAATACAAGATATTGTTTAAAAAAAATACTATGAACAACTCTATTCTAACAAACTAGACAACCTGGGGGAAATAGACACATTCCTAGAAAAATAAACCTTCTAAAACTTAGGAAGATTCTAAAAAATCTCAATAGGCTGATAACTATGGAAGAAATTGAAGAAGTCATCAAAAAGCTTCCGGCAAACAAAAGCCTGGGGCCAGATGGGTTCATAGGGAAGTTATACCAAACATTCAAGGAAGAACTAAAACCTATCCTCCTTAGACTATTCCAAAAAAATGCAAGAGGAAGGAACACTTCCAAGCTCCTTCTATGAAGCCAGCATCACCCTAATGCCAAAACCAGATAAAGACAACAGAATGAAAGAAAATTACAGGCCAATATACCTCATGAACATAGATGCCAAAATCCTCAACAAAATTCTAGCAAATTGTATCTGGCAGAACATCAGAAATATCATACACCATGACCAAGTAGGATTTATCCCAGGGATGCAAAAATGGTACAATATTTGTAAATTAATAAATGTGATCCATCACATAAACAAATTGAGAGATAAAAATCACATAGTCACATGAATTGATGCAGAAAAAGCATTTGACAAAATCCAATACCCTTTCTTGATAAAAACTCTCAACAAAGTGGAAATAGAAGGATCATAGCTCAACATAATAAAAGCATATATGAGAAACCCACAGCCAACATCATACTCAATGGGCAAAAATTAAAACCATTTCCCCTAAGAACAGGAACAAGACAGGGATGCCCACTCTCACCACTCCTATTCAACATAGTGCTGGAAGTACTAGACATTGTGATTAGACAAGAAGAAGAAATAAAAGGCATCCAAATTGGAAAAGAAGAAGTAAAACTGTCCTTATTCGCAGATGACATGATACTGTATATAGAAAACCCTAAAGACTCCATCAAAAAATTATTAGACTTACAGCAAAAGAAACCATCAACAAAACA